CCAATTTACAGGCAGCTAGAAAGTACAATAATCTTTATAGAGCCAAACACCAATGCCAGCAAGCTGGTAAGCACCTACTCTTGTTCCGGATACTTAAGAGGCTGAGGCAGTAGATAGGTTGAGCCCAGGAATTTAGGAGTTCCTGGTCAGCCTGGGCAATACAGCGAGATCCTCTCGTCTCTCTGGTCTCACAATAAATACCATAAAATAAGGCATAAGTGAGCTAAACACCAAACTTAGTGATTCTTAAATAGGGCCTACATTTTGGTCCATTTTCACTTCCTTGTGTTAAACTGGCAGACTTTACGTAATCTTTGTTTATAAAGAATAATAGCATTAAATATTTAACTCAATGACTAAGGAGCTGCATAGTTTAAACATCAATTTGAACATAATTTTATACAGCACAGACTAATTCAAGCCCATTAATTCAAGAATTAATATACAGCCTATTAATTCAAGAATATGATTTAATTACCTCATGAATTGTCTCGCTTATGTCCAAATATACTTGTACCAATGTCGATATTTAAAATACCCAAGTACCCATTTTCAGGTATTTATTTGTATCTGAGTGTTTATTTCATCACCCCCTTCAAGCCATCCTATACTCAGATCAGGTATTTGTGACTTTGAGCATTTGTTACCGACCTCTCACCTGTAAGGTTGCGGGAGGAGTATGGATAAACTAGGGAAAGAGGGCTGTGATTTTACCCCGTGGGGGAAAAAAAAATACAGTAGATGTAGTGTTACAGCAAATACTGCAGGGAAATTCGGTCACACAGCGGGTGAAGTTTTCTTCTGGACATATCGCAGGTTCCTCCCTTCCTCACTGCCTCTAGATGTGGGGGTTAGATGGCCCTTTTCTCTTTTCCCTTTTCCTTTCTCTTCTCCAAGCAGGAACTTGGGAGGAGCGCAGAGTGAACAGGAGCTTGTGCTCAGAGGACACGCTCATTTGGCTTTCCCAAAACCTCGAACCTCTCCTGAGTCCCAGCGACAAAAGAGCAGTGAGGGAAAAATCAACATCAAGGAAGAAGCTGCGGACACGGAAGGGAGTCCGAGCGCCAGAGGAGCCTTGCAGAACGTTTCCCAGGTCTGAGCAGGTTCTTGGATTAGCGGGCCTCTAACTGACTCAGCTAATCACAACAGAGAAGAGGCAGTTTGTTGGAAGAAAAGTTTGGAAAACACAAAACGTGGGAGAGTTTATGTCTCTGTGCCTCTACAGTGACAAAAGCTAGCAGAGGGGAACTGCTCGGGTTTTGAATCACTCTCTCCTCTGGGCCTGGATTTGCAGCTGCAGTTCAAGACCCGGTGTGGAGGAAAGTCCACTAGAGCGCAGCCATGGAGCGCTGGCTGCCTGAATTTACTTTCTGGCTCTGGTAAATTTATACAGGTTATAATTTATTATTTTCATTAACTCAGATTAGAGAGCGAGGCAAGAAGAATGTAGATCAAGAAGAAAGGTAGAGGCTGCAATGGTAGAGGCAGCACTGGTTTGCTGTGCTGCCCAGGGATAGCGAGGTTTTTGGTGTCCTCAGTCCCCTATTAGATAGGTATCCTCACGTTAACTTATACAGTAACAGCCACACAAGCATCCTCCTGGTGCTCGGGTTCAGCTGTTGCTCATGCCCGCTCCCCTGCCTGTTTCTGTATTTCTAGTTCAATCAATCATTTTATGCATGAGAAGGAAGTATGGATCCCGTTTGCCAACTCAGAGACCACCAGATGCTCCCCAAACTCGGGACTCCCTTATATGCCAAGGATTAGCTTCCTGTGTCGGGTCTCCAATCGCAGAAATCAAGCGTAATGGTTAAAAACTCTTAGAGTGGTTGTAAGTGTAGAGATAAAAGGAAAACATCTATGTAGAGAATGAAGCCCTGCCGCATAGAAATTTTAACTTTAGAAATAAGCACTTTAAAATAAATACAAGTATTTATGTTAGATCAAATGAATCAGAGAGAGAGAGAGAGAAGGAGAGAGAGAATGTTCAATGCTTCAAATGGGCTCCAGGCTAAAAAGCGGAGAGGGAGCCAAGCTAACGTGAGGGTTTTTCTTCTTTTTTTCAGAGAGTATTTCGGAACTATCCAATTTTAAATTGCAAAGAAGAAAAATAGAGACCGGATATGCTTTTTAAAGTCCGCCCTGCCCCCATTAGCGTTGATTTCCTGGGACGTGAATTCCACCGTGTACTATTGTCCCAGATCTGGACCCGCGAGGATCATCTGTTCCTCCCTCTTCCCCCAAGCCCCTGACACTGACTTGTTTCTCTGAGTGACTTTTCTTTAAATAGAGTCCGGCTAGTCTTGCAAGAGGCCTGATAGTTTATTTCAGTTTTAATCATTTTCTTAATGTCGCTCCTACCGGTAAAAGACATTTTTCTTCCTAAAATGACTGGAGGCACACCTTCCCTGATACACTCGCTCTCCTGGGTGTAACATGCGCAGGTGCACACGCACACAGGCACACGTGCACACTGTCTCGCTCACTGGCGCGCACATTTGTATATACGGACGTGTGCAAACGCAGCATAGGAAGTCCCTCAGCGAATATTCGCCCTGTGCTGCTTTCTTTGCTGCCTTTACTGCCCTGCCCTAGCGTACGTGTGCAGCGGTAAAGGAGGCCTTAGGAGCTAGCGAGCTGGCCTGGCTGTCAATTCTAAGGGGCAGATCCCGAGCCACCAACGTGGGGCTTGCTTCCCTCCCACGTCAAGAAAGAGGTTCCTTGGTGTTTTACATCTAGGGCCCAAGGTCAGGACGAACTGCAGTCTGCGACCCACTGTGTCGCGGGGTCGCGGACATGGCGACAGGTCCTGGCCTGTCCGGGAGTTTGAGCCAGATTCCACTCGAGTTCAAGGAGGTGGCGGCCCAGGCCTGTCGTTAAGCTTCCCAAAGCCCAGCTTGGAACAGGGTTCAGGGAGCTAAAGCCGGGTCCTGCCCTGCCTCCCTCTCGGCTCACGCTTCTTTCCAAGGGCTGTGATGCGGCTATGGGTAAAACCCGGGTTTTCAGGGGTTTTCTCATGAGGACTCAAGTCTCCGGGTGTCCACTAGTCCTGGGGTCTGCACCACTGGCTGGCAGGGATAAAGGCGGAAGAAATGGCAGAGAAAAAGAAGAGGGCTTGGGGCGGAATGATCCAGGGAGCCCTGCAGTCTGCTCAAAAATCCGAAATCAGTTTGAACTCCGGGCGCAGGAAAGGACGAGATCTGGACTATGAAGTAGGCTTCTCTGGAAATAGCGTTTGTTCCCGGTCTTTTTCGGAACGAGTCGTTCCCCCTGCCCCGGCTCCCGGCTCTACTTAGGGGAAAAGGCTCCAAGCGACTCCACCTCTAGGCCGCGGTGCCTCCAGGGCTTCCTGTAAGGGGACGTGGAGGAGAAAGTGGTCTCTTCTCCTGGTCGCCAAGAGCAGCAGTCAGGGGCCGCATGCTCTGTCCACGCAGCTAAAGGGCAGCTAAAGCGGCCTTCAGGGAGCATCACCGCCCTTGCCGCGGGGAGCTTCAAGGTACAACCTCCCGCCTCTCCTCCGCCTTTCACATCATCTTATCAACCCCAGCCCACCCCTCAATTTCTGTAGGTTGCGTTTGCTCCCCCCAAGGCCAAACTTCAGAAACAGAATTTGCATTTTTTTAAAGATATAAGATCTGCCTGAGAAGCTGCTTGAACTTGTGCCTCCCGAGTGCTCCAGAACAGGCAAAGCCTTTCTTTTGCAAATATAAAACAGCTCCTTCCAGCTGGACGCCTTTCCCCAGCATTTAAAAGAGGCCTCCTCCGCAGGGTTATTCCTAGTTCTTTAAGATCCTGAGGCTGCCGGCCCTGCGGGGCGGCCAGCACGTGCCTCTGGGCACCGCCTGCTAGGCTCCCACTGGTCTGCTGCTGTCCAGGCTTGAATTGCGCGTTCCCTGAGCTAGGGGAAAAGATTGTTGGAGGAAGCCAAGCTACTTCCAGAAGCACTGGACTGCAGGCTTACAGATAAGTCAGAAGAAATAGGCAGCAAGCAGTTACAAAAATCTAGCAACGGAGAAAACCAAAGCAAAACCAGTCATTTGCCACGTGTGTTATACCAAAGACTAAGAGTAATATTCGGCATGAATTTTATTCTTTTTGCTTTTCTTTTTTCTTTACTCTAAACCATACACTTTTTTGTTAATTCTAACAAAAATCTGAGTTGAAACTACAGCTCAGTTTGAGTTCCGGTTTCATTTTGAATATACAAAAGCAGACCGGCTCTAAATACCTGAGAAAGAGCGGTAAATTGTGAAATGAGAAGGAATGTGAAGTTTTTTTAACTCACAGAGAAATTTCTCAAAACTGTCATTGTGTTTTCAAACTGTACTTGGAGAAGTTTTAAGGGTTTTCAGAGTTAAATCTGTATCATTGACGACACACAGAATTAGAATCCCGTGATCTACTTGTTAAAATATCTACCACTTTGAAAGAACAGGGAATCTCCAGAAAGGGCGTGCTTTTCCTAGCAAGTTATGAGGGACTGACCGATAATGTAACATTTCATCCCTAAATATACAGGATTTTAATATTTTAAAACGCATCTCCCCTAAGAAGAATTCAGCGAGTAAAATTTAAACCCAGTGCCGTGCTCCACGCAGAGTGAGAGCTGCGAAACAAGGGAATGTTTAAATGAGAAATGACCAACGTGGACGTAGTGACTTTCAAGGCTCTCAACCTTCCAAAACGTTCGGAGTTGTAGCAACGTTAAATGATAAGGACGTGGAACAGGGATCTAAGGTTCCTTGAAAGATTCTGGATGTGCTAACTTGGAGAGTGGCTCTGTTTAAAGCCGGGAGCCTCCGCCTTTCCAGATGCTGGGGAGAAAAGACTTAGGGGCTGGACTGGGCTTTGGAGCAAGACCCACAGAGTTCCGCGAGCGCGGGCTGGCACATCCAAGCCAGATGGCGGCGCTTTTCACTCCGAATCTTTCGCGACCTTGTAAGGAAGTGGGCGCGGGCTGCGCAGAATTGGCGCCTACTGATTGGCCATGCTTCTCGGTGATTGACGGATTCCTGGGCTCCGCCCCCCGCCGCTTTATTGACGCTAATGAGCAAGTTCTTCCCACCGCTCTCCTGCCTGGAAGTGCTGACAGATCAAGGCAACAAATTTCAATTACAATCCCTAATTTGTGTCCGCAGAGTGTTTTTTACCCATGTTAGTCCTCTCTGGCTCATCAGATCTTGGAGCAGCAGGAGGAGGTGGAGGGGGTGGGAGCGAAGGAGTGTATCAGTGAGAGAGAGAGAGAGAAAGGGAAAGAGAGGGAGAGCGCGAGAGAGACCGAGGGAAGGAAACTTGGCGGTCGCGTCGTCGCCAGTTCCTCGGATCCCAGCCCGAGAGAGAAAGAGGAAGCGCCAAATTTGTTTTTTGGAAAGGGGACGGATCTCGGAGGCGCCGAGAACCGTTCCACTTCGGGGTAGGGCTTTCCAGGAGCGGGTGCGTGCGCGCCGCTCGGAGTATATGCGCCAGGGGCGGCGGGCGCCCGGCGGCGGGGATGGCCGAGAAGCGGAGGGGCTCGCCGTGCAGCATGCTCAGCCTCAAGGCGCACGCCTTCTCCGTGGAGGCGCTGATCGGCGCGGAGAAGCAGCAACAGCTTCAAAAGAAGCGGAGAAAGCTGGGCGCGGAAGAGGCGGCCGGGGCCGCGGACGACGGAGGCTGCAGCCGGGGCGGCGGCGGGGCCGAAAAGGGCTCCTGCGAGGGAGACGAAGGCTCTGCGCCCCCGCCGCCGGCGCGGAGCTGCGCGGACCCGGAGAGCAGCTGTGGCTCCCGCGGAGCCGCGGGTGAGTCTGTCCCTTCCCGCGCAGCTTCTTCCTGGCGCGACCCCTTCCCGGTCGGCCCCGCCGGCCCGCACGCCCGCCGCGAACCTGAACTTCTGCGAGTCCGAGCGTGTGCGCGAGGTGGCCGGAAAGCGGCCCAGCAGAGGCGGCCGCGCGTGCCTCGGCCCTCGGTGTCGCTGGTGCCCGGGTCACGGCCCGCGCGGTCACGGCCCGCTGCTGCCACCCACTCGGAGCCCCTCGGCCGTTTGTGGAGCCGGGCAGCGCGGATCTGTGCTTTCCGCGTTTGCCTCCCTTGGGGTTCCAGCCAATGGGTGCTCCTTTTCCTTTCCCAATTGCCAAAGCCTAGGGCGTTGGGGGGGGTGCAGAAAGAAAGCATAGCCGCCACCCCCACCCCCCGAAACCGGAACGGATGCCCTAAACCGTTTGTGCAAACCAGGAAGAGGGCGGCGTACTTGCGAACGCGGTTTCCCGCGGGTTAGCGGAGCGGTTCGCGTCCCTTCTCTCGGACTCCTCCGGCTCCTCGGCCAGGGCGCGGGCTGGCTCTGAGAGCTCGCTCAGTGCTGAGCTGCTGGGTTGGAGCTTGGCCGCACCGGGGTCTGCAGAGGGGTCCAGAAGATGCCCCAGGCCGGGTCGAAGCAAGGCGCTCCGGAGTCCTGTCGGGCCCAGGGGCCGGGCGCGGTGGCCGCCTGCGCTTCTGGGCGCGGGTGGTAGCGCGGTCTGCACTGGGGACTGCGCTCGGGACCTCGTCTCCGAGTCCGTCCCACTCAAGTCTCAGGGCCCTGTGGTGACGCGAAGCTATCCGTGGCCCAGACCTCCCGCAGCCCGGCGGGTGGGGGGACGCGGCCTGCGCCGCTCCAGGGCCCGGGACTTGGGGGCCCGGCAGGCCTTCCCGGAGCGCCTGTGCGTTGCTGGGGCCCGAAGACACCAGAGCGTCCCCGCAGTCCTTTGCTCCCGGGCCGGCAGCCTGCCTGTCGTCGGGAGCCCTCACTGGGTCCCCTCTCTGCCTTTTGCTGTCCAGGCAGCTGTGAGGATGGCTTCCTGCAGGGCACTTCCCCGCTGGAGTCCCCCGGAGGCTCCCCGAAGGGATCCCCGGCGCCCGCTTTGGCCCGGCCCGGGACGCCAGTGCCCTCGCCGCAGGCGCCGAGGGTAGATCTGCAAGGAGCAGAGCTCTGGAAGCGCTTTCATGAGATCGGCACTGAGATGATCATCACCAAGGCGGGCAGGTAAGGGGCGAGCTTGCATGGAATCCCCCACGGGCCGGCTTTGGCCTCACCCTACCCTGGATGGTTTGGGAGAAGGCTCTGCTACGTGGGGAACACTTTCTGACAGACGCACACAGCCCTGACCATGCCTCACTTCCAGGCTGGCTTTGCCTCAGGGGTTGGCGGTGCAGTGGGCGATGAGGCCGCCTTGTTGATCCGGGAGAAATCGCTGTGGTCGCCTGTGCTGTCGCGATCAAGGTTGATGTTCGGAGTGGAGAGTACTTATGGATTCGAGGTCATATTTACATTATTTGGGCTCTACTTATCCATTCTGGAGCCAAAGAACATAACCCGCCTTTTATTTTAAAAAATAATTTACTCCACAGCAAGCTACTATTTACTTTTTCAGATTTAAACTTCCAGGTTGGTTCTTTTATCAGAACATTTCCTGGCACTATATGAACATGATATGCTGTATTATTTTGAAATTAAACTAGGATGAAAACTCACTATAATCGTGCATAATATATGTTTAATCATATATAGCTGTAAGACTAATTATCTTGATTTCTAAAAACTCTGTTTGTAGATCCAGTTAAATATTTTTCCAGGTGAAATTCCAGGCAAGACATTAGCTTAAATTTGCAAAAAAGTACTAAATGTAAACGTAAGAAGTTATCTTTTTTTAAAGCATGAAATTCGCACAACCGGTTAAGTAAAATAAATGGATTTGTTGGTAGACCATAGTAACTAGAGGTAGCCGCAGAGACATTTACACTTTAAGTTTTTCAGTTCATTTAGTACAATAAAATTTATGAATAATATCCTTAGAAACTTTAAAAAGAACACACGACTCTTTCAGGGAGTACACATGGTAAAAACCTGGATAGCATAAAAGTATCCAAACTTATTAGAAATTACAAAAACATATTTTATTGAATCCATATGCTGCCTTCTGCATTTTCACGGAGCTTTTATTAATGATCCAAATTTGGTTTTCGAGAACACAAAGCAACAGTCATCTTATAAAGGATGTAGTTAAAGACCTTTACTCTTTATCTTACAGGTGCACTGAAATGGTACTAAACAGCCAGTGCCATATTAAAACTGTTCGCATGCTTAGTTAGGAATAATGGACTTGCCTTCCTCTGGAAGTGGTCTTTAATAGCATTACTGTTATAGAAAAAAAAAATCGGTAAACAACAGCACTAAAGTTTGTGCTATAAAGTTAAATTAGCAAAAATTAGATTAACTGGCACAGTCCTAGACATAAATCAAGACGAATTTTTTTAAAGGACAAACATCTGCATTTGTTTTTTATACTTATTTCTCACTGTTATGTTTCTTGCTGCTGTGCCCTTTTTAAATGATAGGTGCGTCTACCTTAGTATTTCCTTTGCTGTGTATCTCGGAAGCTAGGCGAAATGGAGATTTTCATTGCTTTCATTAGCAAATATTTAAGTAAGTGTGATTTAGGAAGGAAGCATTTTTGAAGTATGATGGAGAAAGGAGTAATTTGGTAAATACACATTATGTTTAGTTTCTGCATTCAATAAAGAAGTTTTACTATACCTTTCAAATTTGGAGCAACTTTTGCACTTCACCCTTAGCATGCTGCAGACAGGAAGTCCTGTTTCAATAAAGAACACATTGTTTGGTTATAACATGGCACATTGGTTCCTTGTGGTTTTTTATAACCCTCTTAAAATTTCATATTATATTTTATCACTTCTAGAAATTTGAAATTTCTATTTCTACCACTTATTCTATTTTGTTATTTGTATTATTAGATGTAAATACACATATTGATTTTATCTAAAAAGTAAAGTACTTACGTTAGTCCCACTGCTCCCTCAGCAGACAATTCTCTCATTTTTAGCTGTACTGACAATTCAATAAACGTGGACCCTATGTACACAGGGTACAGCAAATTACATTTTAAAACCTCAGTTTGGATATTTTCTATGTCCTAACACTTTGCTGAAGTTAATGCTCTAAGTTTGATCATATTAAAATACAGATTAGAGAGGTTTATTCATTTTCAGTTCTTATCAGAATCAAAAGCAAAGCCCAAATCCTCTGTCTCCTCTCCTTTGTAATTAGGCGCATGTTTCCTGCAATGAGAGTGAAGATCTCCGGGTTAGATCCTCACCAACAGTACTACATTGCCATGGATATTGTACCAGTGGACAACAAAAGATACAGGTACAGGGATTGGATCCAGGACCTCAGAAAGCACTAGGATTTTGCCAAGAGTACCCATTTGATTTGTGACTTCTGTGATTTTTGCTTCCAGAAGAGTATAGGATTTCCAGATCCATAATCCGATGTGCGTGGCTTGCAGCACCCAGATGGTGCTTTCTCTTGCAGTAAAATGTGGAAACAGAATTTCTTTTTGGCTTTTAATAGAAACAGAAATGTCTTCGATCATTGGGTACATAATTGGGGTCAATTCGGTATTGCTAAACTAAATGCATCTTTCATGTAGATGCGCATTTCAATTAGACTTTTCAGAGGACTTGCTATGCAGTTTGTATATACACATTATGGTAAATGAAATGTTTTCTTTATGACTTTTTTGATCTTCATATTTATTTCCTTTATCTTGTTACATTCAAAGTCATAAAGGTTTGTGGACTTTTTCCCTCTGAGGAAGTTAAAGCTTTCTATAAGTAAGATAAATAAATTCTCACAATTCATTGTGATATAAGATATTTCCAAACTGGTAATGAATTTGGTTGGTTTTGATTGGTAGGTAGCAATTGTTTAAAGTCTTCATTGTTTTTAAAAGAGAATATATTTACCTAGATATCAAGTAATCTGTGAAAAGATACATATTCTTGAGTTTCAAGCCAAAATTTACTCTTGCTCTTTGGGAAGAAGGCAAATCAAAAATTTTCAGTGACAATGTTTCTTATTTTTCTGAAGAATTTTTAAAAACTAGCATTTAAAATAAATAAATACCAACATTTTAAAAAGAAAGTTTTGAATGTCAGGGAGATCAGAAGATGGATGCTCTTTTAAATTTTCTCATATATTTTAAATGGTGTCTAGTAGTTTTTAAATGAAATAGAATTTGAATTTTAGCAATTTATAATTTAGGGAGTATTTGCAAAACAAATTTATGTGTCAAAAGTATACAGATTTTAATTTGAACAAAAACGTGAAATACTACAAAATGACTAATAGAAAGGAAGTTTTACTTGTGTTTTTGTGTATGTTTTATTACTTAAATCATGAGGACATTTTGCTAAAATTGTCTACTGCATAACAGAAGTTAAAAGACATAGACATTTAAATTTCATTCTTGAAATATACTTGATTTAAAAACCCATATTCTATTTGAGTTTTGTGCTGAGGAAGATAATGAGCTTAGAAATTATCCTTTTCTTCTGTTTGTATCCTATTTCTTCCACCAAAACTCTTCCATATATTTTTGATGTTTTGTTTTACTTAACTGAATTTTATTTACTCTTCCAGAAAGCAAGGAAACATCTCAATCTAGAATTAAAATGGTAGATTTTAATGTTAAAATGTTAAATGGTAGCTTTTAATGTAGATTTTTATGTTACATATAAATTTGCTTTCATTTATATTGCTTAGTAAAAAGAAATTTGTTTTTAGTGCTGGTGTTTAGGATGTTTTACAAAGAATGTGTAACACATACCATTTATTTTCTTAGTGTATATGGTGTTTAAACTATTTAGTATGCATAATTTTGTAAGATTTTGTTAGAGAATATAGCTATTTGGTAGCAACCCAATTCATAGCAGCAGTGAAGTTTTTTTCTTGAATCTCTAAAATTTTCATTTTATTTTCCAACTTTTTCAGCAGTATTAGAAAAAAATTTGGCTTATTTTCTGATGTCAGAGTCTTATTTGGTAGGGGTAAAAATGATTGCTACTTACTAGAATGTAAAATTAGTAAGCACAAGATCCCATAGCTAGCAATTTACTTATTAAAATTGCACCATACCATTTGAAGGAAGGTTTGTAATAATTACTCTTTTGTGCTTATATATTTTTCCCCCAAGGAAAGAAATTACTGTGAAGAGTAGAAGCATATAAAAAAAGGGTATCAAGCTCAAAAGAGAATGAAATATGTGACCCTCAATAAAACAAAGAGCCATAGCAAAGATGTTATGAACATATTTTATGCTCTTTTATTTAAAAAAATTTTTATTAATATACGTTTATGTTACATAATAAGTACATTCAGTGCAAATGGGTACACATACATATCACATGTGCATCCTTTTAATTTCCCCTTCTCTTCCCTACCCCCATCTCCTCTTTTAAAAAGAAATTTGCATATTATCCAGGTAAAATTTTCTGACACTATTTGCAATCTTACTATAAATTGGCTGACATTTTAATACATCTGGAACAAAATCATCTAAGACTATAATTTTATTTTATATTCTTTTCTTCATTGATACTCTAATTTTTAGCTTTTAATTAGTTTATTTTAAAGTAACAGTAAATGATAGTCTGATTATAGGACTACACTTTGAGATTTTATTACTTGAGATATTGTCACTTAACGTATTGCTCTTGCTGAATCAACATATTTAAACAAGGATATTCTGTCTCTAATTAGAAAAGCAATATTAATTAGATAGGTCTTTATTTTCAAAGTGTGATTTGTATCTTGATTAGTAGTATTTGAGAACCATTTGGTGTAAGAAATATAGGAGATGACATGGCTTATATTTTATAATTATTTAATAATCTTATATTAAACTGAGTATTTCATCCTTACCTTATAATACTGTAGAATTAGAAAAATACAATTCTAAATGATAATAGGTAAAACTTTTTCTATCAAAAATATGGCAATTTCCTCTCGCCTTTCTATGGTCTGTCTCATCAGATGTAACCTAAAATGCAAAGTGATCTTTAAAGAAGTGGGACATTTTAAGATATAACTTTCAAGTATTTTGAGACTCACTTAAAGGTGAGTTTGGCAACTTCATGTCCACTGAATATTTAGGTGGAAAATATCAGATTATAGTGTGTCTAATGTGACTAAATTGTTAGAAATAAGATACAGTATTTGCATTTGTGGGTGTGCAGTTTTTCACTAAGCTCTTTCACATACTACTTACTCTGAGTTGTCAGTAGAGCCCCCACTACTTCAGAAAGCTTTTGAAAACTACTTGGAGACTTATTTTGGGGATGAGGAAGAAATCAATTTATTTTAGACTGTAAGAAGAAGAGTACACACGTGTTCTTGATTCGGCTGAATTGGAAATACCAAGAAATGAATAGCCCAGCTCCTGAGGGCCTTCCTCGTCTTTGCCTTCTAGGTATGTTTACCACAGCTCTAAGTGGATGGTGGCAGGCAATGCTGATTCTCCTGTACCACCCCGGGTGTATATCCATCCAGACTCGCCTGCCTCTGGGGAGACTTGGATGAGACAAGTGATCAGCTTTGACAAGCTTAAGCTCACCAACAACGAACTGGATGACCAAGGCCATGTAAGTAGACGGCCACTACTGGTTGTCACAACCATATCTATGCTATGTCTGACTGAAGGGAATGAACACTTCTAAGTTAGCCCTTTCCTCATTGATCAGCATGTGCATAATCTGTGCAAAATAAAGATATTTGTGTCAGAGACTATACTTACAGCTGAAGTATACTATGAGGCATTTAATGTACTGAAACTATATATTGTGTGTGTACTGGAATGAGAGAAGCCAAGGTGGAGACTTTTCTTTAGCCAAAACACTTGTGTGAAATCTCATGAAGTGCTAATTATTGTACTTCAAATATGAATACTATTTGGAATTTGGCTAAGCAGGGATAATGATTTATCGTATCCCCTTACACCACACTCTTTTCTCAGCCAGGGCTTATTGCTTCTCAGAGTCAGTCCAGGCTTATTCCATTCGTGAGTTCCATCTGCAAGCTCCCAGTTGCTTTAAAAGGAAATCTAATGTGTCAAAATATGTTACAGTAATTACTTTTATTCTTAAAACTGCTGAAACATGATATGTAAGTCAGAGTTCAGCCATTCCAATAATACAGTCATTTTTAACACCTTATTAATTTTTGTGCTGTATTGTTCTTAGGGCAGATTTCTACCTTAGTATATTAGTAAATTAGTAACTCTGGATACCTGTTGATTTCTGTTCAAAATTAACATTTCTACTAGGTTTCTGTTATTCAAGAAAGTTTTGATTGAAGCAGAACTGAAGTGCCTTTTGAAGAATATATCATACATAAAAGGAAAACCAACTAGCTCATTATCAAAGTGGCAACATAAAGAAAGAATATTTATAAGCAAATCTTGTAAAACAAAAACACAAACTATCATAAACTGGTGAGATAGTGATAAGATAGTGATAACAGGATGTGATTGGCGAGTTGCTAGCCAGTACATTAGCACTTGACCTTCATGAAGACCTTGGAGTATACTAATTTCATAGTGGTACAAATATAGTGTCTAGATTTTTAACACACATTTAGTAAATCATCACATTGGTAGTGCTTTTGTTTATTGTTGCCTCTTATAATTTAAAACATGATCAGAAAAATAGACTTTATGAATCCAGTTTTATGACCTATATTAGTATATCACTTCGTTTCCTTTCTTTTTATGTTGTACGTTTATCTTTACAAGTTAACATAGTTTGTAAGAGTTGTTTGCCCTTGATTACAGTGAAAGCACGTTAGTTTTTCCGGTCTCGTTGAGGGAACTGACTGTGAATGCTGGAAGCCATGTTGTTTTGTCTTTTAAAAATAGAAAAAAAAATTCCATTAGTCTAAATACCGTTTTTCTTACTTATTTCTAAAAAACCTTAGTGTTTACTACATTTTTCTGAGTTCAACAGTTTAAGAATATCTCTTTTAAAGAGATAATTGGACCCAAAATTTGTATGCTATCATTCATAAAGTACAAAAATTTTGATAATTTAAATCAATATAATCATTTCCCCATTCTTTCGGTTCAAATGAACAAAATTTTTGTATCTAATAGTTTCTAATATCTAACATATCTAATGTTAGATATAGATTTAGCAGTTTACCTATATGATTTTAACTTTATAATTTTACTAGACTTTATTGAAAGCAGCATTCTTTTGAAAAGGGGATGTGTACATATGTGTATATATATGTATATATGTTGAGAATACACATGTATGTAATATATATTATACACACATAAAATATATAATATATATTATGCATATCATCTATAATATATGTTATACATATTATATATACATTATAAAGTGGTACCTTACTTTATGAACTTAATTCTTTCTATGATTCTGGTCACAAACTGAATTGGACAAGAGCCAAATCAAATTCAATGGTTAGGTTCAATGTTGACCTTATAACGAAATTTGATTCAACCCTTATCCTTGGTTTGCAACCAAAATCAAGGAAATATTTAAATTATATGTATATTCATGAGAGTCAGAGGTTGATTTAAATAGCTGGGCTATGTGATTGTGGGGGTAGCAGGCCTAGGATAAGCTGTTGTTGCAACTTGAATCTGAGGACAGTCAGCGCTCAGAATTTTCACTCCCCTGGGGGCCTCTGGCTGTCTTCTCATAAGGGCTTCAGTGAACTGGATGAGGCCAGACCCCATTATGGAGTGTAATCAGCTTTACTCTAAGACTAATGGTTTAAATTGTATCACAGCAACATCTAGACTGATGTGTGACCAAATATCTGGGTGCTGTAATTCAGCCAAATTGACACATAAAGTTAGCTATCATATAGCATTTTTACAACATAAAATAATAGATTACAAATTGAAATCCACTTCCTTAAAGTATTTCACTATTAGGTAAGGAAAACATGGCAAGGAAAAGTGTATCATCTGCTGGTGAATTTTTTCTTTCAAGATTGTGGCAGGTTGTACTAGTTTAAAATTGATACGTATGGAGAGTAGGAAAAGGGCTGTTACAATGCAGTTTGGAAGCAAGGAAGTTGCCTTTTCAAAACACTTAAAATGTGTGCACTATCAGTAGATACCAGAGGAGAAATACGGAGGGCAAGTGCTCTTTTTGGCATATGTGCTGCCATATGAGGGCTAAAGTGCTCTTTTTTATTTATTCAAGGGACATATTTTTTGAAACTCTGTAAAGTGTAGTAAAAGAGACAAAGACATAGGGTCTGCCTTCGGTGAGTTTGTAGCCTAGATGGAGAGAGAAGGAAACGTGTGCGAAGATTATCATCCTCCGACTCACAGAGGCAGAGATGCCACCTGAGTGTATATACTCAGTTTGATAACTGCAAAGGAGCCTAGAATAGAGATTAAGAGTTCGTAATTCTACTGTTGATCTTGCTTCAGGGGCTAAGAAGATAGTAATACCATTAAGGTGGGAATTTCTAGTTTCATCATCCCTTTCCCGGAAAAGAGAGCTCTCAAAGACTTATCCCTCTCCCCTTCCCCATCCTTGTTCTATTCAAAAGGAAGATACCGTAATCTTGAGTAAATGTGTAGACTCAAATGAGAAGTGATCTTCTAAGTCTTTTTCTTTCTCTTGTTCTTTTTTTTTTTTTTTTTTGGTTTGGTCTCTCAGTTCCCAGTTTTACTTTGCTAAAGATATGCAAGCATTTAACATAACATGAGAACTCCTTGTAGATTTGAAACTTTTATCAATTTAACACAAAGTGGTTTCAGGAATCAACTCCTTACAGGCTGTGACTCAACCTAGAACCACATGATAGGAGATGATACACCTCTGTGGTTTTTTCCAAAGTGACTTTTCCTCTTCCCAAATACAATAGTATTTAGAGAGGAATATTGATGAGAATCCAGAGTAGAAACGTCCCTCTGAATGTTATGAAGACTTTACAATAAGGATCCCAGGAGAATCTGTAGCTAGCTTTATGCTGACTTTTATGCAAACCAAGATTGCTTCTTGGGCTACCCAGGTGCAGATGGTGGGGTAATTTCTCATCACATGGATGTTTGCTGTGCACCTGGAATTTGCCAATGAAAGAAAAACATGTAGATTATCATTTCCATGAAAGATTAAAAGACTGATAATGATGGGCCTTAAGCTTCCCAGTGCTGGGATGCTTTAGGAGGGAGTACACTAGTCAGGGGACTGTAGGTGAGCTTGTGCTCACAGCTGCTGAGAACTGGAGGATACAATACCCTCATTCTCTCCCTGCTTCTCCTTGAGAACTGTGTAGGTGGGGAAGCAAGATTACAGGGGATCGATTTAGCTCAGTGGCACAGCGCCTGCCTGGCAAGTGCAAGGTCATGAGTTCGATTCCCGGTACCGGAAGAAAAACTACAAAAAAAAAAAAAAAAAAACAAAAAAAACAAAGATTACAGGGGAGGTTGAAAATGTTTCCCTAGTGGCAGGGATTTGCAGTGGCTTACAGGTAAGCCACATCTGTGATCCTGGGCAAGTCAGAGATTTGGTTTTCTTGTGGGCTATATTAAAATCAGAGAACTTTGAGTAAACTGATGAACTTGAACTAAATTTTAAGGAATGCTTCCTACACGGCATCACATATAAAACAAAAATAAGACTATCTTGCTACAGAGCTTGTGATTTTTTTTTATTACAGCATTGACTTTCACCATTCAAAGTGAGTTGGTACTCAAAAGCACCAAAAATTTAGAAAGCCGGAGTTTTATTATCTGTTCTTCCTGATCTTTTGCTCTGCTTATTTCAGCATGGGAATTTAAGTCATCTGGAAAGTTGCCAGTCAGCAAGGAGTTTCTCTATTGAGCTGTTCTGTGAGACTAGATGCAGCTGCCTGTCTGTCAAGTCTCCATCACTTTCAAACCACCAGATCCAAAATAAAAATGATTATGCTTCTTTTGACTCAAATCTAGTCTTTAAATTAGAAACACGTGTATTAGACTGTACAAGGGAAAGTACTCTGTTTATGGACATAGGCCTGTGTTAGGGGGTAATGTCATTAAAACATCTGTCTAAATAGAAATAGAGAACATAGAACATGCACAGCAGATAGAATTATTTGGGCTTTGGTGGTGAACATTATTATTGTGCTGCTCCTTTATGAAAGGCCAGTGGTTTTCCTATTTGGGCTTGTCCTATTAAATAAGCAAAATATTATCCACTACTCACAATGGTAAGTATGATAGTTCCTTAAAAATCAAATTATGCTATCTTAAAAGAACAAGTGGTACTTGTTTGGCATGCCTTAAAAATTTCCAGGGGTACATTAAGTTACTATGGACAATGTTGAAAATATATCATTTAGCTTGAATAATCTTCAAATCACTACTGACGTTTGTTCCTTAACATGCAAACATACCAGCATGTATCAGCCATTTCTGTACCCTATTCCAAAATAGCCCAACTAAAGTCATCTTTAAACTGTGGAATGATGTAAACAAAGAAGATCAAAAGGTATATATCTATATGGAGAATCTCCATGAGAGAATCGGTTCTTCATAAAACAAGAACCTTTTCTGCATTGACTGATAGACAGAAAACCCAAATAAATTTTTATTCTTTCATTCTAAATCCGTTCATTCTAATCTTCTGAAATCAGTACACATTTATTTTGGCTTGTTGATATAAGTAAGTTTTCTTTAGCTGTTCTTATGCTCTGGGATTTGCTTCTGAAACTTATGCTAATTTTCCCTGGGAGTTTATAAATTCTGTTTTCTTATCACTAGCATTTTGTTTCATAGCTTGGAGAAGAGCAGAAGAATTTTCCCTCAAATTCTACTCCCAGAATAGGAAGTGTATATCAGTTTCCAAGAGAGAAAGAGAGATTAATTAAGAAACAAAGAAGGACAGGAAAAAAAGAGTTAAAATTAACAGAATTTATAAAATTTGTCACTTGCTGTTTTATGTTCACATTTACAAGAATCATAGAGATTATTATTATAATAATTCTAAGAAAGGACTGGAACAATTTATATCATAAACTTTCAGCTGGTGGCTGAGACATCATTGGGGCTTACTAATTGATTAATCTGCCTCTGCAGGCTGAGAACCATCATTGTATTTATTTAGCTGAGTCTAACCCAGTGATGATCCCTGTCTATACGACATAAATTTATAATGAGTACACATAACCATGGTGGTCAGAAAATGAGTCATGGTCTAAAGCAGCCAGTTTCCAAATCCAGCAGTGAAGAATCAGAAGTTTTGTCTCTGCAGACCTTAGCTGCTTCATTATTAAATTAGGGGACTAATGTCAGTTTTTCAGATTTAGAAACATCACACAGAACACTGCATATCAAACAGGGAAGAAGAACACCCTTACATGGAGGACAGGGAACAGACCCCCAATCTCCCTCTCTCCTAACCCCCTCCCTTAACTTAGTTCTGAGAAAAATACTAACTGGAAGATACCTTTCAATTCTGTTGAGATGTTGGGGCTTCTAAGGATATAAACTTAGATTTCCATTATATCTTTTAAAATGAAGATTTGTAAACATAACCAGTTAAGAATTACATACTGAAGAAATGAGAAAAAAATCCATAGTCACTGAAAATATATGTAGGATATAGTGATAGAATCATTAGAATTAAGTGTTCCTCTGTGTTTTTCAAATTTTTGACCTTACAGTAAAAAGTGTCTTTTATGTATACACATACTCACAGGTAACAGAAAACGTTTTGCAAAACAGGGCTTCCTATCATCCTTACTATAGGCACCACACTCCATTTCCTACTTTATTTTAATAATTTTATCTATCTTAAAAATTTCTAGTTACAGCCCTTTGGATTGATTTCATGAGCCACTAATGGATCGCTGAAATTCTGCCCTCCTCTGACACCTGGAAACACAGTTTCCAGAGGTTTCAGGTTCATGCACGTGTCCAAGGTGACTGTGAAGGCTGTGGTCCCCTCTTGCTTTTTCTCATCCTCGTGCTTCTCCCAAGAAGCTTGTTGAGGCAGCAGGATCACAGCAAAATTATTAGATCTGCTGTCCAGTCATTTCTTCCTTCCACTGATGGAAATGAAACTTCAGGGTAAAAAATAAAACAAAACAAAAAACTCTAACTATAGCACTAGTTACTACCCAAAGGTAAAAGCATCCTTTTGTGGTAATGAACTCACTCTCCAGGTATAAGAATGTATGTGTTTGGGTTGACCAAGGACTCTGAATTTGGCTTATTAAACTGCCTACATTTTGAAAGACATGAGGCAGGTCACCCGTTGTGTTTTCCCGTGACTTTTGTTTAAATGTTTCCCCTCTAAATTCATAACAGCTAAAAACCTGAATACCACTCTTATGGCTCAGGAAAGATAGGAATTTTTCACTAAAATCATTTATTAATACCTGAATATAGAATTCAAGAGCAAATGGAAAACCTCACTGGATGAGGCTCACCCTTGAGGGCATAAAATATGTAAAGAAGAGAAAAGGTTCACCTGGAATTCCATCATCCAGAGAAGGTCACACTGTTCATATCTTTGTATGGTACCCTTTTACTCTTTTAATGTAGTTGTGATAAATGCATAAACAATTTGGGTGCTGTTTTTATCACTTTAAGATTAAAACTTCCATAAACAGTATTCATAGCAACTGAATAGTACTGGATTCCATGATGTGGGTTTTCACCTAACTACTCATGTTGGGCACATATGTGATTTATGGTTCTTCCATTATTCCATGTACATCTCCACACATAAAAACCTTTTCTGAATTGGGAATACTTCCTTCAGATAAATTTTCAATGAAATAATTGGGCAGGAGGCAGTTAGCCATGTTGCACAGTACTTGGCACAGTCTATGAAGGCCGGTGTTTCCGTTTTCTGCAGTCTTAGCTTTTAATAAACTTTACTGTGAGCAGCAAAACTGGGTTCTCCTAGCGAAGAGGAGCCTTTGGGAGCCACACACAAAGCCAATCCCAGGCATCCTTAAAATTCCCTTTGCTCTTGAGTATACATGTAGTTAGTGATGAAGGGATCATTTCTGCTTAAAAATAATCTTGAGTGCAGATATTATATTTAGAGGTAGGTTTGATGCTGTTTAATAATTTTAATGTCATTTTTAGTTTTATTAGTTTGGACTCTCGTTTCATCTGGTTCATTATAAATAAAATTATATGAATTTATTCTTATATTTTAAGCAGTAGAAAAGCTTGATGTCGGGTTCCCATGGTTGTACACAGGGTTTCACTCAAGTAAAAATTTTGATTTTATATTTTTTTATATTTTTTACAAATAACTTCCTAGCCCCCCTCTCTCTTTTTGATATGTTTTATTAAACTGACACTTTTTCATCCTTGGAAGTGTTAATTCTCAGGAGCAACAATTTATTTTACGTATTGAATATTTAGATGTAGTACCAAGAATGCACAGAGCTTCCTGATTAAATATGTTTTTTTTTCCCCCTCAAAACAGATTATTCTTCATTCCATGCACAAATACCAGCCACGAGTGCATGTCATCCGTAAAGACTGTGGAGATGACCTTTCTCCCATCAAGCCCGTCCCGGCTGGGGACGGAGTGAAGGCATTCTCCTTTCCAGAAACTGTCTTCACCACTGTCACTGCCTATCAGAATCAGCAGGTATTCTTCTCAACTACTTTCTTTTTCAGACTTTTTGGATAAACAGAAAGCCAGTTATTCTCACTGCTGCATGAACATGTGAATTATAAAATGCTTGGCACATATGACATTCAAGGTGTACATGGGTGTTTGTGAATATATAAAATAACCATTCTTTACCTGTAATTCTCCAAGTAAGGATACTCTAATAAGGACCTCTTCACAACCCAAATCTCCATCCACCAAAGATTGGATAAGAAAATTGTGGTACTTTTATAGAATGGAATATTACTCATCTATAAAGAAAGATAAACTCGAGGCCTTTATATGTAAATGGTCACAATTAGAGACCATACTCATAGGTGAAATAAATTAGACCTGCTTGTGCAAGCACCGAATTGTGTCACTAGTGTAAAACCTGAAAGAGTTAATTTAAACTAGGAGGTATGATAGACATTGTGAAATGATAGGAAAACACTCAAGGGTAATGAGTGTTACCTATCTAACGGGGATGTGGGAAAAGAGAAAGGAAAGAAGGAGAAAGTTTGCATGTATGTGTATGTAGGATAGTTATCATAATTGTTCCACTATCTTCTATTTATTTGCTGAAAGAAACTGTCAATGAGTCCTTGATTGATCAATATTGCATGTCTATATCTGTTTTCATGAGAAACCACTTTGAAGATATCAATATGTAATACAACAAGCAGTGTTAATTTCCTACCACTTTGTTTGTAACTCTGTATTGTCTGTACTGTTCTTTTGCTATTTTGTGAAAGGTTGTCTGTCTGTTAATATTTTCCTCCTTTTATTTTTAAAATAAAAGAAAATAAGGACCTCTTCAGACAAAAGGAGACAGACATGTAAAATATGAAAATGCAGTTGTATCATAAGGCTTGGGATTGACTGTAAAAGTAGCCCATGAAACTATTTCAGAATCGTTTTTACTGTACACTCAATTTTATGTTCTGAAAAGGGTTTTTTGCTTCAAGCCACGCTTTAATTGTGATACACAGTGGTGTGTACTTTATAGTCAGAGAGACTAGCAATTGTGAAGCACTTATTTCATAAAGTTGGAAATAATTTTAGGAGTGAATTTTTCTATATGAATAAACATATTTCTTTAAGTCTGTGTGTATATGAGTAGAATAAGCATAGAACGGAATGCAATTTTAGGCAGTTCTCATAAGAAATAGCCAAGTAGTAGAGGCTATGTATGTGGTACACTTTGTTTTTAAAGTTTCAGTGGTAAGCCAAATTATTTCAAGCCTCCATTTCCGTTTGTTTTTATATACATCTCCATTGGATATGTAAGGCTTTTCGCTTTCTTTGCTGTGCTCTCTGTTACGCTGAAGCTTTTCAGTAGCTGTGGGCCCTCCCATGTGCTCTCCTTTTGGACAGAGAGGCCCAGTATTCTCCTTTGTGTGGAGACATCAGTTTCACAGTGGAAGCTGGTCTGTGTTCTACAGTCACGCTGCCACTCTGTCACAGGCTTGTAGGAAGGGTTGTGGGCTGTAACTTTTAGGTCTAGGGACAGTCGAGATGATATTCTTAAAATGTATGTGTGGCAGAACCTGAAATTGGTCTTAGGGAAAATTAGTGTCTGAGGTGAAAACAGCAGGGGTTTTAGTATGATTTTAACAACCCTAATTCATTGTCGTTTTCCACACACTGAAAGTCTCTGTGCTCTATACATATTTTCTTCTTCCCTTTGTGATGTAGTAAGTGTAATGCATTGGGCTTCTGGCTTATGTTGGGGCTAACACCGTTTAACAGACATTGATGAGGGAGTAGAAAAATTAGGATGGAAGTTGATAACGATAAAATGCAATAATATTCACTTTTTAATTTCTCAGCAATCACTTTAAAGAACTTATGGAAAACTGATAAGCAGACTCACCCAGCTGTTAACAATTTGGGTGCTGCAGCCTAGGTGGCTAACCCATTTCTACTATGGTTATCTTAGGAAGGTTACTTCTAAAGCCTATGGTAAAGGAAAAACATAAAGTTGGAGTAATATGTACACATAAGCTTCTATGATAATTAAATGAGTAGTGTGCTTAAAACAGTACAGCAGTCTGCATTTAATAAATGTGACCATGTTAGCAATAAAAATAATAGCAATAGTAATTGTGATATATTTCTATTTATTTATTTTTTTTTGTTGTTTTTTTTTTGTTGTTTTTTTTTTTCTCCGGTACCAGGAACCGAACTCATGGCCTTGCGCTTGCCAGGCAGGCGCTTTTGCCACCGAGCTAAATCCCCAGCCCGATATATTTCTATTTAGACAGGCACAATTATATAAATCTATACTCTTCAAAATAGTGTTTTAAGTATTTGAATTATTTAGCATTACCTAAACACTGTTGAAAGGAACAGAGAATGGGGTTATAATCTGTGAAGATAGAACTTTTCTTCAATGATAAAATGGTAGACATGGTGAAGTAATTATCAAATCCTTCCATTATATCCTTTATAATGTAGTTTTGTGCACATACCAAGATGATATCACCTGGAACTCGTGTGTCTTAAGTGTTGCCCCACAGTCTAGAGGATGGCTGAGAGCGTGCACAGGCGGTATAGGGAAACTGTGAAGACTTCCTGTGCCTTAGTGTTAGTCAACAAATTTCATCCTTAGTCAAGATGGTGCAATTAGAAATGTATGCATTAATTTTGTGATGTCATTAAGCCTAGACATTTAAAAAGCAAAGCATGGCGTACCTCTGAGAAAACAGACTGCACATTCCTCAGGAAAAAGTAGAGCTCTGGTAAGAAACAGATGAGGTGTCATTTATTTGTGTCAAGTTCAGGATAATTTTTAGATGGAGATGATCAAAACATTTGTAAATCCTACCCTCCGCCCAAATTTTGAGGTCTTAATGGGCAAGATGATAGTGAAGAGTCAACAAATAGAACTCTAGTTAAAATTAAAATGTCATTTGTTTCTACTATATACGTATACATAAGATTTAATCCCATTAGAACCTTCAAAAAGTGGTTATCTCTGGTTAGATACTCACTGTAGTGCTGTGACAAAATTAGGACTCCACAGACAAAAGATGAAAGAATATAACTTTCAGACGAAAGTCATAAAGATTAAAGGAGAAACAGAAAAATACAAAGGCAGAAAATTAAAGGAGGGTGGATATCACCTAAATTTGAAGAAGAGAAGATTGTGTAGGAGTTTAAAATTGGAGCATAGAAATAGCTATTAAGTACAAGTTGTTGGATATTACTTGCTCCTCATCACCTCTATTTGCAAGAAAAACACGATTAAAGCACATTAGCAAAGTTAAAGGGAGCAACTTCGTTTTCAAGAGGATTGTTAAGTGTAGGACAAATATTGATAGATGATTTAGATTTTCCTTCCCTAGAAGTATTAAAAGCAAATAAAACTTCTGTATATTCTGAGATCTGAGCACAGTGGGACACACAATGTAATCTCAGCACTCAGGGCGACTGGGAGGTTTAGAAGTTTGAGTCTGGCCTATGCAATCCTGTCTAAAGAGAGAGAGGGAGAGAGAGAGAGAGAAGAAAGGAAAGAAAGGAAAGGAAGGAAGGAAGGAAGAAAGGAAGAAAGGAAGAAAGGAAGGAAGGAAGAAAGGAAGAAAGAAAGAAGGAAGGAAGAAAGAAAGAAAGAAAGAAAGAAAGAAAGAAAGAAAGAAAGAAAGAAAGAAAGAAAGAAAGAAAGAAGAAAGAAAGGCAAACAAGAAAGAGGCTGGAGAGATAGCTCAGTGGCAGAGAATCCTTGGCTGGTTTCTCTTCTACACTGCAAAATAAAAAGGAAGATATGTATCTTTTTATACCACATGAGTATTCTGGATGGTTTCTGAAATTTTCTTTTAGCAGCTAGGATATTAAAATATGTGACAAATGGAGAGTAAAATCCAATATTGTCTTCTATCAGTTAATTTTTGAATCATTTGTAGCTCCGTGGTAATTTCTGTTCTTTAAAATATCATTTGATCTTTATATAGGATGCACTTTTTTTTCCTATTCTGCAGATTACTCGGCTTAAGATAGATAGAAACCCATTTGCCAAAGGCTTCAGAGACTCCGGAAGAAACAGGTGAGTCCTAATGAAAAACCTGGTTGGGATAAACGTGTTTGATATTTTATTGTGAATTTCCCTTACTAGCTACATAGTTAGATTTACTGACACTGCATGGAAATCATTCCTGATGAGAGTTTAAACTGGCTAATACTCTTGTTCCTTGGAGATCAATTGTTTCTGGAGTGTAACGGTGTGGCCGCAAGGTGAACTCTCACATGTGCTGCTGGGGTGAAGATGGACAGACACTCAGGGTTTGTTGCATGCTGTTTCTGAAGCAGCCTTGAAGAAGCCTACCCCAACATGTCCAGGGGCCTCAGTATTTCAAATAAATATCCTCTCTGCCTTTGCTATTGGTTTAGAATTTCCTTAGGGATGACACAACTGTCCATTGATTCTTTCTGGAGAGTCTGATAGGGTCTCTTGTTAACTCAGATTTCCAGCTGGAATATGAAACTACTTCCTGTTGCCAAAAGAGCTGATGTTCTTTAGTTTCCAAATTTGTCTTGGCTCTGATGACAGTCATGCACTTGTTTATTTTTTCTGTGTTGTGTTTTACGGTGTTTGTACTAAGTGGGAGAGCTGCAATAATGAATTTTACTTGATTACTTTTATCAAAAAGCAGATCATCTAGTATGTATGCCAAGGGTTTTAAAATTGATTGGTATGATTCTATTCCTCTACAGTTTAGTGAAACATTTTCTAAAATAGCTGTTAATAATAAAATGTAATAATAGACTAATGTTCTCCAACTGCCTTTTCTGGGTAAGGCTTTGACTTCAGTGTTTTTAAAAGCATCTTGTTTCTAAAAAGAAGTATTTGAAAAATTGTGTTACTTTACTTCCCAGATTATTCTAATACTCCTTGAAAACTTAATATTAATTAAGTCTGTCTGTAATAAATCAAAATCTCCATTTATTTATTTATTTATTTATTTTTGGTTTTTTTCCGGTACCAGGAGTTGAACTCATGACCTTGCACTTGCCAGGCAGGTGCTGTGCTGCTGAGCTAAATCCCCAGCCTACTCCAGTTCTTTTAGAGGCACTGTCATTTGAACTTTTAGAGAGAAAATAATCAGATAACAGTCTAGAGTTTTAGTTCTTTCAGCTGATTAATTGGGCAAGGTTGGTGATAGAAATCTTTTCTTAGTATACACTCAATAGCTTGCAGAAGCCTGACGTCATCTTCATACATGAGATCATTAAACATCAAGCAGTGTTTAAATATTTAATAACTAAAATGTAATTAAAATACAAATACAGTAACCTTCAACTTAATGCGGATAGATCAACAAGACTGAACCATAGAAAAGACTTCCCTCTGAAATTCTGCACTCTTTGGAAAGGTTTATGGTATTTCTACAAGTTGTCTCATGCGCTGAAATTGTTTTGTGTATTTGCTTGGCTTTTATTATGTTACATTAGCTACTAGATAATTTGATTTTGAGATTTTTGAATTTTTCAGATTTGCAGGTTTTAAATTTTCTGCAAGTTGAATGCAAATTGAAACACAGTTTTGTAATCTAAGAACTTCCACTTAGGGAGGTGACTGATGAAAACTTTTTAGATGATTCTTTTTCTACTTTGACAAATGCTTTGATGGAATCTTTTGTGATTTGGGTAATATCAGAATAATATTTAACCATTTTCTTGAATTGGTTTCAGTTTATTTCTTTTTAAGCAGGAAAATAATTTGTTAATACTCGGGTACTGCAGCAGGGCAAACTCAGGCTTTGAATTTACACAAGGAACTGTGTCCAAGGTATTGCCCTAGCGAAGACCTCACTGGAGGCTCACTGCTTCTAACTTGCTTGTTCATTTCTGAAGGACATTAAAGAAACATTCTTAAAATATATAGACAGATAGTAACCATGAGTGAATCTTCTACAAGTGAGATGATAGATGTACATGACAAATTTTCAAGAAGAAGTCTTGATATGACAGCCCAATGAAAGGACATTTGATTATTTAAATGTGGTCAGGAAAGAAATTAATAGCATTAGTGAGAAGAAACTGCTAAGTCTATTTGGTATATCGAAGTCAGAATGATTGATTTGATATGAAGTTTTTCTTCCTTTTGTCTGTTTCAGGAATGTGTAGGTGTAACATGTAATTGTGCTTGTTATTATTTATTTCCTGACCCTCCTAAAGTATTAAATGTTTTTAATGGGTACTCAGAAAACAATGAATTATATTTTGACATTTTAATTTAAAATTTTTATTTTGATCCAATTCTTAAACAATAACTTGCTACAGATGAAGTGTAATGTGTCTGTATATGCCTGTTTTGCTAGTAAAACAAAGTTTTAACTTTTCTTCTCATGAAATTAGTTCTTACTTAGCATAGATAAACTTTTCACTGTAACCCTTCAATGTTAAATATCTTTTCTTCAGTACACATTTGCAGTACACAATGATTACATGTATTATGGGGAGTCGATACATGTACATAACACATCTTAGTTCTTCCATTTATTTTTTAAATCTCCTACCCCCTTTTTCCTTTCTCTCCCTCTATCTTTGTTCCCTGATCTATTTGAAAAAAATTCTCCCTATTTCCTGTCTACTGTCTTCCACTTTGCTCTTGCTCAATACCTATAAATCAGTATACCTTGTTTGAAAAATTTGATCTTAACATTTTGACTGGTAAATGTAAAAGACACAAATATGAAGAAAAGAAAATTGGTTATGACCTTTCTAATTCATCTATTATTTTTCTTGGTGGAGAATGTAGTGATCTTGGGAATATAGAGGAGCACAATAATTTTTCATATATTAATAGAGATAAAAGTCCATGAGGAAAAGTTCAAAATATTTATCATCCTGGTTGTTTTTGAAAGCAAAATATTTTTATTTTTCCTCATATATGAAATAAATTGAACAAGACAAGAAATAAACATGTACATATAATTGTCTAAACTTTATAAAACAATTTTCTTTAATTAAAAATTATCCTTTCTTAGCTATTTATGGCTCCACAGTCTATTTTATAGGAATCAGTAGCTTCAGTCCTTAAAAGCTCTCCTGCAAGACATTTGCTATGTGAGAGCGAATTTATGTGCTGAAAAGAGTTTCATTCTTCAGTTAGGCCTTAGGTTTGACCCTATAAAATTTTTTACTCAGGAAGGTACAAAAATTTCTTCTCTTTAAATACTTCAGGAAAAACATAACCATTTTACTAAATAAACTTGGCCATTTGATAGCATAAATTAAGGCAGTGATAAAATGTGGAAGTTGTTCAAAGGCACCTTGTATAAATTATCGCCTTGGCTACTCTCCTGCAGGAGGTGCCTTTCATCTTTTCTTTAACTAGATGAGAAAAGTCTCCATTACTGGAGAAAATGAAGGCTTTTTAACAAAAGTCCAGATTCAGCTAATAAATATTTTATAACTGTTTCCTGCAAAATATCTGAAATCCTTTCTGGAACTTGCAGTGTGAAACAGCAGCCTCAGGAAAAATATCAGAAGTTCTAAATCAGATCACTTGTGGATATGTTACCTTAAAGCATCTACTTAAAGCTTAGGGCTATATATTTGTGACACTCCGTAACTTCTCAAGTATTTGGTTTATGCATTTGAAGCATAATAAAGTTTATATTGCTAAAGCAAATAATGCAGTAATGCACGTTAATTTAGTTAGTACATTTCTAAGTCCAGTGGATGCTTGTTAATTGTTTTAGTAAACTTCAAGACTGCTCCGTAAGTATTTTGGTATATTTGCTATTTAAATCTACCATTATCAAAACCCATCTATGTGGTGTTAAAAAGCAATTTTTAAAAATAAAGCTAAATTCTAACATTATTTTGCATTTAAAAATCTTACCTCTAGAAAGATACAAATTTAGCATGGACATAAAGTAAATATAAAAAGAAAAGAACAACTGGGGTGAGGGAAAAGGGAAAAGAAAGAAGGGGAAATTATGTATGTATATACAGGATAGCTAACATAGTTGTACTACTGACTTCTGTAGCTTTACTGAAAGGAACAGTTAATGATTACTTATTTGATCCATCTTGCGTATCTCTGTTTTCCTGAGAAACCTCTTTGAAGATATCAATACATAACACAACAACCATTGTTAATTTTCTACCACTTTGTCTGTAACTTTGTATTATTTGTATTGTTCTTATGCTATTTTGTAAATGGACATCTGTTTGTTTTTTTTTTTTTTTTTTTTTTTTTTTTTTTTTTTT